CACCTACGAATGAAACAAGTCCCACGCGCGCGCACACAATCCTAAAAACTCATCTTTCTTCCTCCTCTGCGTGTCCGGCGAATCCCTCCTGGTTCCAAACGGCCCATACCCGCCACCATACCCCATACCACCTGCAACATACCCTCCAGGAGGACTACCACCAGCCGCATTCCCGGTCGCACTCCCACTTCCACCAGCACTCGCCGTCGAAGCTGCAACAGGCGGTAGTGGCGCGTGTCGAAAACGCATATCCGGCCCAGCACCTAGTGGCGGACTGCCATTATCACGCTCGTATTCGTTGCGCGAGCGGCGACGGCTAGATTGGGGCATATGTATGCCGCTGCCTGCTATAGGTGTGGCTGCTGAGTGTGCGTGGTGGGGATATAGGGAGCTCTGCTGTTGCTGAGACTGGTGATTGCCGTTTGCGCCGGGGGAGTGGTGGTGTTGGGGTCCTTGAGCTGAATTGGTATTGTTGTTGTTGGCGTTTGCAAGGTTACTGTTTCCATTGTAATGTATGATGCGCGGGAGGAGATCTTCGCGGCCACCCGCGAGTTCGTGGACGGCTTCTTCGGCCGAGCGGTATTCGCGGGGTCTTTGTATGGAGGAGTAGGTGGAGGATGTAGAAGAAGTGTTTTGGTTTTGGCTTTGATTTATAGGGAGGCTGGGTGAGGGAAGAGGAATGTTGTTATTATTGCTGTTATTAGTATTAGTGGGATTAGCTAGAGATGTTCTCGGTGCGGTTGTGGCTGATTGATAGAAGTTGTTATTGTTATTATTATTATTATTATTATTAGTATTAGTATTAGTATTATTAGTATTATGATTGCTGCTGCTGTGGTTGTTGCGGGGGATATTTCTATCATCACGATCCCAGTCGCGATGGTCGCGGTCTTGGGTGCGGGGAACGAGAGCGTCGGAGCCAAAGACATCCGCAATGGGCGGAAGGCGGTTGTTGGTTTGGTTCGCTGGTGCATGGTGGATGTGGGTGGAGGAAGGGGAGTTCATGTGGTCAGATGGGTGTGAGATGAGATGATGAGTGATGTGGTGTGGTTGGTGGCGGCCCGTGAAGGTCTGGTTGAGCGGGGCGGACTGAATAACCCGTTCATTGGCGAACTGAGAGGCGGATGGGGGAACGATTGATAAGCCTGGAGGGGGTCGTTTCTTGTTCGTGGATGAGGTTTTGAGAGATCCGAAGAGATTTGATTCAGATGGTTTGACGCCATCAGGGCCGTCACCTTTGGCTGTCTTTTGCAGGCGCGATTCAATGATGGACCTCTGCTGGTCTCTGACGGAGATGCTGCGCTGGAGCTGTTCTCGGATGGCTGGGTCTTGGGTCTGGAAGCCGGGTGATAGACAGGCCAGGCCAACATCATGCATGGCAGCCAGGCCACCTTCCCGTGAGGTCAAAGGGCCACGCGACGTGGAGGAGTGTGAAGAGAGGGTGCTGGCAGAGAGATCGAGTTTGCGAGGCCGGTGACGGGAACTGGAGTGCAGGCTGGGAGAGGTTGGAGGTTCCTTCTTGACGGATATTTTGGATACGGCACCTCCGCTTCGGGAGCTAGAACAGTTAGCATTATTAGTAATATTAAGACTGTTACGCAGCTGTGAAAAAGATGGTATGTTCCAGTAGATTTTTAGGAATAGACATACGTATTTGGTGATCGCTTGCCAACCGGGGAGGTGGTTTTCCCCGTGCCGCGGTCGGCTGAGGAGACGGCAGAAGTCGTGTTCGTAGATTGCGACGGAGTGGAGGTGGACGATGACATTGGAGCGAGAACGGGGTAGGAGTTCGTGGAAGAGTCGTTGGCACGCTCACGGTCGACTATTGGGCGCAGGGGAGCAGCGGTCGGAGGAGCGACCGCAGTGGACATTCTCCTGGTGCGACGTGGAAAAGGCAGTCGAAGAAGAGAATTAAGATATAATAGAGATAGTGGGTGGTTGGGGTAATATAATGCTGATGATAATGACGCTGACGATAATGACGATGACGATAATGACGACAATGACACTTGATGAAACGAATAACCAGAGTGAGATTGATTAATATTCAATAATATCTCTCAGTCAGACACTTCCCATCAGGCGTGCGACACCCACACACAGAAAGCCAGAAGCGAGTGACAAGATTTTTTTTTTTTTTTAAAAAAAAAAAAATAAAAAAAAATAAGTGAATAAAAAATAGAATGGAATTTTCTTTTCTTTTCCTCTTTCCTTTTTATTGCCGTTTTATTTCTTCTTTTTTTTAATTTTTTTTTTTTTTTTTTTTTCGCTCTCTGCTCTCGCTCTCTTTTCCAGAATTTAATTAATAATGAACGAATCAAAATCTAGGAATCAAAAAACCAAAAGAGCGATGGAGGGTGGAAGGTCGAAAGCAGCAGCCAATGCTTGTGTGGTTGTGACTGAGGAGAAGTCGAGTTAGCTGCCGGACAAGAGGGAGAGCTAGGGGAGAGTCTAGAGAGACGAAAACGAGGACGAGGGAGGAAGAAAAGGATGAAAGGGGCCAAGGTTACCTACAGAAGAAGAAAGGACAAAGGAACGACAAACGGTGGACAAAAAGAAGACCGGCCAGACGCCGGTTGGGGATACGCGAGGGAGCTGGTTGGCTGGTCATTGACCGGGAGGTGATGCAGATGCAGGGAGGGGGAGGGGGAGGGGGGAGGGGGGAGGGTGAGAAGGAGGGGGGAGGGGGATGGTTGAGGATGAGTGGCTGGGAGAGAGGGAGTGGACGTAGCTGAGCAAAGAGTTAGGGGAGTGGAGATGACAGAGAAGAATCAATAATCAATAATCAATAGTCCCAAGCGGTAATGGATATGGATGTGGATATGATGTGGATATGGACGTAAATATGGATGTGGTAGATGCGGTGGATGTGGTGGATGTGGTGGATGTGGGTGTGGATGTGGTTGTGGTTGTGGTTGTGGTTGTGGTGAAGTTGACGTTGCGAAGTTGAGATGTTTCTTTTGTCCCTTTCAGCCTCATGTCGCGGCGTCGTTTTTGTTTGTTTGTTGTATTCTTCTTCTGCCTCCAGAAGAGTAAGGATGGTTGACTGTGGGAGAGAATACAAAGAGTATCAGAGAAGATTAGAACAAGAGTCAGTCCCCCCCCTCAACCAACTAAATAACCCACTACAGCTGCACAAATCTCCCAGCTTGTTTCTTCCTCTTTTTCCCTTCTTTTCGCTCTCGTCTCCTGTTTCAACCGCAGCAGAACGGAGACTGTGTTTCATCTGCCAGCCAATCACCGCTCCACTCTGCGGGGCTGCTGTCTCAGAACAATTTTCAGGCGGAGACTATATGCCTAAGTGAGTTAGGGCAAGGGAGATTAGGGCCGCAAGGAGTCAACACGAAGAGGTTAATTAAGAGGGGATGGAGTGGAGGGTTTGAGAGTCAACTAATGAAACTGCTGCTTAAAGTAACTAACTTATTAATGAGTAACTCGTTAACTTAACCGTTACCTCAGGATTGGGGACATGATGGATACGCCGTACACAATCGCGATATCCAAAAATAACATCCAAACCTATCCATGAATGAAAGTGCGAATATGAATGTGAATGTGTGCGCTTTAGGTTCACTCTGATTCATCATCTGGCTATATTTGAACTAAATATACTGAGCAATAGATGGAGTGGTTAAGATAGAGCAACAACAGTGCGAGGTAACTGACCACTTTGATATGCTGTCTTTTACTCTGAGATGCACACTCTCAAACAGCAGTTCTCGATGCAAATGCCTAATACTCCACCTCATCAACAGGCAATGGATTTGCATCCGGAAGTCCAGTAATTAGTGAATCATAACCTTACGGATACGCCCCCCCCCCCCCCCCCCGGAAATAG